CAAGATTTATGAAGCTTCAATCCTGATTATTTGAATATTTGTACCAACATTTTTTAGGGTCTGGGTAAAAATATTTAATTCTAAATACAAACATTTTTTAGGATCTTAAATATTAATGATATAGATAAAATTTATGAATAAAATAAAGGTTTATACACGAGTTGATTTAGTGGTTAACAAATAAATTGCATAGGTTAATTTAACTAAAACAATTATCAAATATAAAAATTCAATTCCAAAAATGAAAAAAATTTTTTTTTTTTAGAAATTTGATTAGTTTTGTACTTTGCATTTATTTTGTCGTTAAAAAATAAAACTAAGAACGAAGTTGCAAACTAAAAAATTTATGACTGGAAAAGACACCAGAATAACCATCAAGCCTCATTATGACTTCTCTACAAACTGCGTCTCGTTATAAAGTAAAAATTTTGTAAAAATTACTTTTACGTCATTAAAATATGAAAAAATTTTAATTTAAAAGTTCAAAAGTGTAAAAAATATTTTATTTTATGAATATTATTATATACATTATCATTTATTTAATTTTAATTATCTTCTACGGTGAAGAGAACACCGTAGAAGATAACACCGTAGAAGAGCATTTAACCAGGAAGTTTACTCATATTTTCTTACCAATGTTGCTTACCCAACTTCCTTACCCGTTTTGCTTACCTTCCTTCTTTACACATATCGCTTCTGTACGAATCTGGTCGAGCCGGCATAGAAACTCAGCTCTCTTGGTTCTGAGCCAGAGCTTTAAAACTTTTTTTAAAAAAGATTAAAATTTATTTTGAGTTCATATCTTATTTTGTGCGCAAAATGTAAAACTAGATTTTATTTAAATTAAATTTTTTTAAATAAAAATTCTATAATGACAAATGGAAGGTCATTTGAAAGGAACGCATTTATTGTAAAAAAGATTTTCTCTCGTCTTCTCAGATAACTTATAAAGATGAAAATATTTTTGCTATTTAAGGAAAACAAAAGTGTCTAAATCAAGATTAATCTCTAAAGTGTTTAATCTTGTCGTGTCATCATCATGTCGAAATAACGACGAGTTTTCAAAGTATACGCAACAATTAAACCTTATTACGTCAATTATAAAAAACTATGAAGATGTAAGTGAATGTATTATTGCTGGAAATTTTCAACCATATTCCTAAAAGTTCTATGATTCTGAATACCGTAAAAAAAACAACAGAAATTCTCTAATTATCTTATTACTTTGATTAAATCAAATAATTTTTCTCTCAGTTACGCTGGACCAACATACACAAATCAATCATAAAAATCTCTATAACTCATCTTATATTGATCACGTCGCTGTCTTAAAGAGTCATTTTTTCCTTATAAATACCAAAGATGTTTCTTTTTTTCCATTGAACTAAAGCTAAGAGTATCGTCGTTACACAAACTGACTTATCAACCATAATAAATAGCATAACACAAAAAAATAGCTATACTTCAATATATGGAATAACAAAAGTTTTATCAACATAATATAATGAATATAAGTCTATTTGAGAATAGTCCAAAAAATATATTATCAACTTGTTGCCCTCTCATTGGGGTGGGAGTGGGGGATGGTGTAGGATGTGGGATGAAATTTTAGAGCTTTTTTCTTCCCAGCATCCAACTATTTTTTGCAAAGCATTATTATTTGACATAAGTATGAAAATACAAATGTTTTGAGTTTGCTCATGTCTGAAAGTTATTTCAAACACCAAAAAAAAGCTGGATGCGTCACTGATGAGGAACACCTTAAAAAATCTTATAATAACAATCTCTTTTTCCGAGTTCAATCCCCACCACGTCTTTGGTTGTACCGAGCTCAACTTGTTTCTCTGCGTAGCGGTCATGTTTGTCAACATTTGTGTTTCGGAGTTATAAAGTTGAGAGGGGGTTGTATCCTTAATTATAGTAGCTTTCTCGACTATAGTGGGCTTCTCGGCCTTTGGGGAGGTGAATTAACATAAAAACAACAACAACAACAACAACAACAACAACAATTCATTATCCAAATATTAAATATGGTCTAAAGCTATAACACCAGTTTCCTTGGCAACAAAGACGTTTTTGGAGAAGTAATTTTAAAACCATTTTTTGTATCTCGTAATATAGCAAAAATTATTTGGATTCTTTTTTAAAATAGACAATAGTTTAACTACTCTTATTCCAAATAAAGTAAATCTATTGATCAAGTTCTTAAAAAACCAAACTTGATAACTGATATTACAGCAACACATAAAAAAAAAAATTGTAAAATAAAAAATCTTTTTCAAATAAAGTGTAACACTATTGGCTCCAATTCATGATAGAAGGAAAAAAAACTAAATTTGCACAACTTTTAAAAGAACTGCATGCGGATGTTGTAACAATATTAAAGGAATTGTTACTTTTTTATAAATTAAAAGAACAAAGAGCAATTTTTAGAGCTTTTACGGAGGAGAATATTCCTCAAACACTGAACCAACTAATTGTAGAAAACATACCGCCTAGCTGTTAATATTTAAAGCTCAGAACTTTGAAAGCTGTGTTGCATTGACTGGTTTTAATTTGATTAGTAACTTTTTTTTAACTATAAATTATTTTACTTGTATTTTTATTTACTTTATGATAAGAGAAAGTATAAATAAATATAAAAAATTCTATATAAAAATTCTCATTCAAAATCTCATATATATAAAGTGAATATTTATCTTTTATAATTTTTATTTATTTTAAGATTATTCCATTTTAGATTTTCACATTTTTTTATTTGATTTATAAAAAAGAATAAAGTTTTTTTAATCATTTTGTTTAACTCTTCTATCTTTATCTGACATTAATATTCTTAATTTAATATGTGTTTTATAGTTATATATGTCAATAAAAAAATAAATAAATAAATAAAATAGTTAAAGATGAATTGCACATGTTAAGTGAAAACAATAAAAGTTCTCTAGTAGCTGGAACCGTATCTGGAAACATACTTTATTGTGTTTTTAAATAGATGAGCCTTGTTAGGCAATGTGATAAAAAAAAAACAACCTTTACACCTGATATTTTATCTGCTACTGCAGTCTAAGATTTTTTAAAGCCATTACATATACCAAGTATTAAACTTGAATTTATCAAAGTGTAACATATGCGCTTCGATATTGCTACTTTTTACTTTAGATGGTGCAAAACTTATCAAAGTTCAAAAAATGTTTTTAATTTGATAAAAATTACAACAAAAGTTAATATAAAAGGTAGCTTAAGTTGCGTTGCTGCTTGAAGACGCATGTGTTGTGTACTTTAAGACGATTAGGAAAGGTGTTGGAAGGCTTGTAAACTTCAGTTTTACTTGAGTCCTAATTATTACTTATGGATTGTACGCAATTGAAGTGTCACCATGCCTCATATATACAAACTAAACCATAGTATTCAACTTCTATAAATGCAACTATAACTCTAGCGCTGATTTTTAAGTTTTTTACTTTTAACTTAAATTTTTTGATGCAGTTGATGTATTTTTAATTCATGAATAATTATTGTACTGGTTACATTATGCTATGATTAGAATCAACAAATTAATTTTTAAAAGAATAGTTTCAAAAAAATTTACTCAGTTTAAAAAACACTTAAAATGTTTAATAAACTCGAATAGGTAAATTAACAAAGTCATGTTTTCTCATATTTTTTTAAATTGCTTTAAACAATTTAGTAATAGTTCAGTTATTAATAAATAAAAAAATAAAAAAAATAAACTAGTTCATAACAGTTAGATTTAAACGCTACATAAACATAGATGCTTCAGAAATACTGCATTAATGCTACATCAACGCAACATATACCCAAACTTAACGCTACATAATAGTAATACAAACCTTGATTTCTTCTTAAGAAAAGAAAATATTTAAAAATAATGTGAAAATCTTCAAATATTGTCTACTTTATTGATATAAAAACTGTATACATTATATGGTAATATTAACGTATGTTGCTTTAAACTTATTAAAATTTATTTTCAATGTTTTTTAGTCTTTTTCAGTATTTTTCAGTGTTTGTAAAACTAATTTTTTTTTTCTTAAAGTATTTATCTTTTTAGTTTTCAACAATTTACATATTAATTATACAGCTGCTAAAATAATACTTTTTTACTATTTAATTATGAAAAAAACTGTTTATCTCAATAAATCAGATTCACATATATTTTATTAGACATAAAGTTTAGCATTCATTTTATTAGACATAAACGTCTTAACATTTTTCAACTAACATGGTTAAAGTCAACATTTAAACATCTATTTTATTAGACATAAAGTTTAACATATTCATCAAAGCCTTTCAAATCACCGATTGGATACCCAGAAAAACTTCTAAAACTAATGGTAAGTGCCATTGCTATTCCTCTTTCCATACTGTTCGAATTGGCAATGTCAAAAAATGCCATACCCTTAATCTGTAAAAACCGCTATAGTGTGCCCCATCTTTAGCAAAGGAAACCTATCATTAACTACAAACTATAGATCTTTTCCAATGACGTTCGTTGTTTGTAAAGTT